GTCGTGGCCTCCTCAGGCCACGACAGGCGATATGTCGGACCCGAGCGACAGCGTCTACTGCGCCCAGCAGATCAAAATACCGACGACGTTCCCGCACGTGCTTCGGCTGTACGCGAAGGCTGCGATTCGCACGCAGCCGAGCGACCTGCTGCGATGGACCGGCGCGTATTTCCGCGCCCTGGCGAACGGCGAGCGGCCGCCGATGAAGGTACGTTTCCTCTTCCCCCAGCCTCCTCGCGATCCCCGCCTCATCTTGACTCATCTTGACTCACCTTCCTCCTTGCGCTTATTCATCGCTCGTGGAGACGGTTTGTCGGGTGTCGAGGAGGCTTCAACGATTCGCCGAAGTCGCCGTGGAAATTTGGCTAGAAGAGGTAGAAGGGCTTCTTCTTGGCGCAGAAATGCGTATTGTACAGCGATATCGTATTTCTATACAATATTGTATTTGTTCGATCGCAGATTGAACGTTTCTTGCACGGGGCTTCCCATCAGAGAAGAGGTATCGATGGGAGACGACGTAACCTGCGATCGTGTAAATATTTAATATGGAATAGTAATACCTCCCTTGTGTTCCTCGATCGTTTTTCTCCCTCGTCCTTCTCGATGTCTTCCGTAGGAGAAATGTGTTTGCAGTTGTTAATTGATCTCTCGCGTTTTCTTTTTTTGCGCCTTCGTTAATCTTTCGCTTGTCTTACGATTACCTCGGGCCCTGGAGCTGCCTTCCGCGGCAGAAGAAGCGCCGGCAGGAGAATATCGAGAGGAGGAGGAGGAGGAGGAGGAGGAGGAGAATCTCTTGAAAAATATCGCCGGGCGAAGTAAAAATTAAACGAAATTCCGCGCGCGCCGATCGACTCACCGCCGCCGCTTGCTACATCGCTCGCTCTCACGCGAATATTCGTTATTATTATTATATTATTCGCCAAGCTGCCCCCAAAGTAGGGCATGTTCGTCTTCGGAGTTGCTCGGTCCGCGTTCTTTGTGAGAAGGAATGGATGTCTGTTAATTATAAGTTTTGCGTAATTCTAGCTGCGAGGTAACAACATTAAAGAGAAGTTACGGACCGGGCAGAGCGCGCGCGCGCGCGTGCGATCTTTCATCCAATCCCCGGCCGATGCGATTGATGAATAATTAAAAGTTAAAATACGCGCGCAGGGGCTCTCGGGATGTGTACGTTCGGGAATTCGCGCGGCCCATTTGAAATTAATTTTTCCTCCGGCCGGATTAATTCTTAAACGTCCGCCGCGCGCACTGTTTTGCGTGCGCGTGCGCCGCGCGTCTCTGCTCCGCATAATCATATTAAACGAGACATTATTATTCTCTCGTCATTAATATCTATTTATTATTGTTATTATTCGGTACGTTAGCAGTAAATTTGCAAACTCCAATTTCCAAATAACACGGCTTAATATGAATATAATTGCTACAACAATTGACAGAATTAATTCACCGACCAATCATGAGCTTTTTTACGTATGCATTCCCTCTTCTCCCCCCCCTCTCTCTCTCTCTCTCTCTGTCTCTCTCTTTCTTTCTTTCGCCGATATATCAGTGCCACCTCGTGTTACCTCGTGATTTAAACCTCGTCGCTCGCCTCGACACGTGACACCTTCCGCGAGACTCCGCGTTTTCGAGTCATCGTCGTCGTCGTCGTCGTCGTCGCAATTAATCTTCTTATTTATCATAGATTGCGCGTCGTTACTCCGTTAGCGGAAAGTTCATCTCGGATTAGCCGGAGCGGACTCCGTTCTCTAGCGTTGCTGCTGCTGCTGCTCGGAGGGCTCGCCGGTGCATTTCGATATTAAATGTTAACTCCTCAATTATGACGCGGCTTGAATTTTCACAAACGCCGAATTGCTCTCAACAATCTCGTCGAATTGCACGCCGCCGAGGCCGAGGCCGAGGCGGCGCTAATCCCAGCGAAACACTCCGCTCCGCGCACCACCTCTGCCTCTCTTTTCCTCTTCTCTCTCCTTGCCCTCTCGACATTCGTGCATTTTGCCGATTAATTTACAGCGCGCATAACGCAATTTGTAACTGTTCCCCGCCACAATGCGCGTCACCGTTATCGCGGTTACCCTCCCTGAATTCCTCCCTTATCTCCGACGTATCGCGCCAACGTCGACCCGTGACACGCGACACCTGCTTATAGCATGATATTTCCGACGTGTGCACGTCATTCTCGAAATGGAGAACGCCACACACACACACACAGAGATAGAGAAGGGCGAGCGGAGGGGGGAGGGGGAGATTACGAGCACAGGAGAAACGGCTATGTGCGAGGACAAGCATCAGCGTAATCCGCGCTCCTGGGAGCGAGACGCTCGATGGAAACATCTCTGGTGCGCGCGCGCGCGCACTCGGGAACCGGTTCGTGACGGGCCGGCCGCGGCGCGGCGTCTAACGTAGCGTGTACACGGGCGTTATCGTTGACCGGGCACACACGGCTGCGAGATCGCGGGAGGTTAGCTCCGACGTAACTGACCACGAGCAATCCCGGCAGGAGAGGCTGGAGTACCCGGCCTTCGTCCACCCCACGGGCATCACGCCTGGCTACCTGAAGATCCTGCTTAACAGATTCGGTCGCGCGCACAAGGTCCGCCTGAGAGCCCTCTTGGAAGACTGGCGAGGGCTGGATCTGCCGGAGGCGAGCCTCTATCGAACACTCGTGGTGGCCGATTTGCCGGTGGACGGCGAGTACTACGAGCTGTATCGATTCCTCGCGGTCGCCTGTGGCTTTTTGGGCAACGTAAGTCGCGTAAGAGCGTTCGCCGTCGTGCGACGAGCTGACAGTGACGGAAACGACCGGTGTCCGGCTCGCTTTCGTCGCGTCCGATAACCGCGCGTCCTCCTCCGGATTTCTCCTTGTCCGTCGGCGGAAAGAATACGAGGGATTAGGGGGTACTGCTTGTGGACGACCGCCGCGTCTTAATCTTCCGCGTGGGTTCCTTTTTTCCGTTTCTCTTCTGTTCGCTCTCTCTCTCTCTCTCTCTCTCTCTCTCTTCCGGGATTTTCTGCAGACGGATGAGAGAGGGGGCGAAGAGAGCACAGGACGAAATATTTGTCCAAGATCAACGGACACTCCCTTCGACGCTAGGTATCCTCGTGAAGAGCGCCGCGCGGAGAAGCGTTTTATATCGTTAAGCAGATCGATCGGCGTTCTCGGGCTCGGGGGGTAACGCCATTAATTGCGTCCGACCGCGGCTGTAATTCAACCCCGTGCGCCCGTTGCTCTCTCTCTCTCTCTTTCTCTCTCTCTCTCCCTGCCAGCCTCCCTCTCTTCCAGACTCTGCTCGAGACGATGATATACGTGTGCGAGTTACTGACGCACGAGCCGGAAGGCGGCTCGGCCATGATACCCTTGAGGATTTTCCTGGATCTCTACGGATATCTCGCCGATCTCGATTGCAGCGGTGAACGTCACCTGCGGGACTACCTCCTCCTCGTGGTCGGTCGAAGCGGCGATCCGTCGCCGCCGCCGCCGCCGCCATCGCCGCCGCCGCCGTGCGACGCGACGTCCGTCTCCGAGCTGTCGTCCGGTCCGATCGATCCGACCGCCGGCGCAGCTTGCAGCTGCGAGTTCGCAGAGGAGAAGGTATCGCGCGCGCGGCGTTACTCTCTTCCGGCTGAATAAAACATCCGGAAGCGACGCCGGGTCTCGTTTAACGCGACTCCCGGCGACGACTCTCCTCGTTTTGTCATCGGCCGCGCTGACTCGACGTCACCGTTAACGACGGCGACGACTCCCTGCTGGGGTATTTCGATTCCCCTCGTCTCTTGGACGAGAGGAGGTTCCGCCAGCGGAAGGGTTCGCAACCTAACTTCGTACGGCGGAAAACGCGCAATTTGCCGCTCGCAGGTCCCCTGAAGAGGATCTCTCGGCGGGCTAAATGCAATCAAAAGGGGGGGTTGATGTAGGCTTCAGGGTATTAAATTGGCGTTAAATGGAATATTGAGGTGGGATCGAACTTCCGACTCGGGCTTTCACGTTGACTCTCGGGCCAGTCAAAACACTCTCCTTCGATGCTTTCGCGTATTCGCAGTCATTGCATCCGTCACCGACACGACTCGGCTGTTCGAAGGAAACTCGGACGGAGGCTTCACGGCTCGACCCGACTGCCGCCCCCCGCCGTTCCATCGATTCGCTGAGAATCCGGCCCGGTCTTTCGAGAGCACATCGTCCTCGCATCTTTCCTCTTTCCCCGTCTCGCTGAGGATTATGCGGCCGATGAGCGGCACCGCGAACGCGAGGGAGAGAGACACCCCCTCGCGGCGACTCGCGTGACGTGATCGTTATTTCAGCGTCGCGACGTTCGCGCGGAATTTTCCCTGCTTCCTGCTCGCCGCGCGTCGTCGGGGCCGCGCGCGATCCGCGCGCAGGTCGACGTCCTTCGACACATTGTTGCAGCCACGGCCGGTTAATTTTAACCGTGCTGGAGCTCGTTTTAACAGGACCTTCATTCGGGGGGACGTGGTTACTGACACGTTTCACGTTTCAACCCTCGCTCTAGCTCGCACTAGCTCGGGGGAGAGCGGCAAAAAACGGCGACCTCGGGTGAGAGATTTTCGCGACGGGAATGTCTATACCCGTCAAGGATTCGTCTATACTCGACGAATACGACCGAGCGGCCAGCAGGAAGGGCTGCGACACGACGTTTACAACGACGTCGCGTATGCGCGTGTTGCACATTACAGCGCTATTATTAAACGCGATGATGATATTTACATGAGCTTGCTTGGTAGCGGCAGGTAACGGCAGATTTGACTTGCGATAGTGCAACTCCGAGGGACGCAATTAACGTTTATTTATAAACCTGCATTCGCTGCAGCGTACGCGCGCGCGCACGCTCGCGCGCGGAGTTTGGTGCGGCTTGCTTTAATCGAGAGCCGCCCCGCATTGTGTAATCCCGCGGATTATAATTATAATAAAGTTATATAACCACCTTCTCTCCTCTCTCCTTCCCGCCCTCTCCCTCTCTCTCTCTCTCTCTCTCTCCCTCTCTCTCTCTCTCCCTCCCTTGTGCGCGGGGGAAGAGTATAATACGAGCGCGTACCAGCTCGAATGTAACCCCACATATTTCATGGGCGCTTTAATAATTGCGGAATGCATTTTCGGTTCGAACGCGAGCGCGCGCGCGCGCGCGCGTTTCAAAGAGCGCGCCCCTCGCGACGCTTCGAAGTTGCCGAGCGGCGCGGGGATTTCCCCGGCCTCGCTCGATGAAGGTAACGTTCTGCGTATCGCGTTGTTCAAATAGCTGATTAATCAAGATGCATTAATACGTGCTAATAATTTTCCGCCTCGACACGCGGAAACGTTGCGTTAGCATTCGGCAAAAAAGCGCCGCTTAATGCCGCGAAATTAATGGATGGATCGGGGGCGGGACGGGACGGGATTGAAGCGCGCGCTGTGCGACGTGCGGAAGTCACGCTCGGTGAATTATGGCCGCGTAACGACGTATAATGGATAAAATTTAATGAATTTCGGGCGGGAGGGAATTATCCGTCGATAGCTGCGCTTGCGTGCGCGCGCGCGTGCGTGCGTGCGTGCGTGCGTGCCTGCGTGTGCAGGAAGTAAGCCGCTTCCGCTCTCTGCAGAATTCGCTCCTACGGTTAAACCCACCCCTTCCCCCTTTTCTCCGTGTCTCTCTTGTTACAGCGGGCGTTGCATATTTTACGCGCGCGTTTGCGCCTCGAGCCGGCGGTCCGCGGTTCGAAGCGAGCGAAAATTAGTCGGCGTTTCATGACGGTTACGTCCTCCGAATCTCGAGTGTGCTTTCAAAATTTCTTGAACGTTCTGATTTTTCAACAGGACGTTTACGGACAGGATACGGGGGAATATTTTCTCGGAGAAGAATCTCCAGCTCCTGGAAAAGCGAGGTGGCAAGCAGTCGCTCGAGTTGGAGCGATTGTTCGCTCACACGGCAGCGAAATTCTGCGCTTTGAGTCGTCGAACGAACGCTCTCAGTCGGAACTGAACAGTGACTCTGATGTATCCGCCAGCGTCGGATGAACAAATTCGCTCTGATTGATTGATACGCTCGCTCGCGCGCAACCAGAATTCGCCTCGAGCCCGAGCGCGCGACATTCTTACGAGTCTGGCGATTGGGATTTCGCCTCGAGACGTTTCGGGGGTGAAACTCGAGTTTATCCGGTGGTTGCGCTTAAAGACCGGCACCCTCGGGAGGTCATGTCGGAGCGCGTTGTAAGGGACGAATCGCGACGGTCGATGGTACACGCGCAGTTTCGACACGCGACGCGTTCACTCGAAGTAGATCAGTTCCGTCTGTCCACGCTGAGAAGCTTCAAGCGTCGTACTTTATTGGCCAAGCAGCTCGCGTTCGATCAGGTATGTGTCACCCCCGACGAGGGTGTTCTCGGGCCGGAGGAGGTGCCCTGCGAGGATCGGGATCCTGCGGGAAGCCTCCGGATCTTGAAGGATCACGCTGACGAGCCGGAGCTCTGCGAGGTCGACGACGAGACAGCATCGCCGAGACAGTCTGCCGTCGGCGATAAAACCGGAATTGAGATCGCATCGATTGATCGCCAGGTCGCCGTCGCCGGGGGAGATAGCGAGGTACACGCGTGCGAGCGTGTGGAAGCGTGGAAACGCTGGGAAAACGATCGGTCACTTTGAATTTGCGAGCTGGACGATCACTGGTCGTAAAATACGCGAGATGACGACGACACGTCGTCATCTCGCGCAGCGCGCCGCCGTCCACGTCGAAGGACATTGATTTCGATGGTTCCATCGGTGTCGGTCGCTTAAAAATTGTGATCGTTGGCCTGTTTCCGAGCCACGTGGCAAATGGGCCACGAGGGCCATTCAAATAGAAACTGGACTTATTTTTACAGATTTATCGGTAACAGATGAAATTGCAAAAGCGATATATTATCTCTCTTCACATGGTTCCCTTCAACGGAAATGCATTTTCTCCACCGGATAGGTGATAGCTTCTTGATCCCTTCGTGAAAAAAAGAAGAAGGGCGCTCCAACAGCCAGTTGCGCATGTACTGCTCAACCGCTGCGTCGTCGTCGTTAAATCTTTCCCCTCCTAAAGCCTCTTTCAGGGGTCCGAATGACATGTGACAGTCACATGAGGATAAATCGGGACTGTAAGTGTCCAGTACATTCCTCCGAGTTTATCGCGGGTTAAGGTGCTGTATGAGGCGGCCGCGCGTTGTCACGAAGAGGCACAGTTCTGAGAGAATTGTGCGAGCGCTCCCAATACTTACGCCCATCTCCGATGAGATTTCGATAACAGTTAAGCTCCGGTCATTTTCCACAAGTTCGCGAACGGCCCGAATGTTCTCATCAGTGACACTCGATCGCGGACGACGTTCGTGACTTTCGTTTTCGACCGCAGCATTACGACCAGTGCGAGATTTTTTGGCCCGATCAAACACTTGGGTGGTTCTTGACAGGGTGTCATCTCCAAACTGCGTTCGGAGTCTGGTCAAAATTTCAGTTGGTTTGACGCCTTCGTTAGCGAGAAATCGGATGATAATGCGTTGCGCAACAGTCGTAGGTACATCTTGTTCAGTCATGGTGCCACTGACGAGGGAACAGCAACTGAGGAACTGTTGCCGGGGGTCGCCTGCCTCCATACATCTCTACCTAACTGATTGGACTTGCCTTGAGTCGGCTCGTTTGCGGCTCTTTCTGAGTCCGCAGGTAAAAAATCCGGTTTATATTTGAATGACCCTCGTAATTTTGCGCGAACACTTGCTCGTCTCATTCGGCCATCCGCTTCAATTTTAACCGAATGACAAGGACGAGGCAGCGATTCCTCAGCATCTGACAAAGATCCTAGTCCAATGCTGCCACCTCCAAAAAAATTACACTTTGACGAATATGTGGGAAAGTAATAAGATAGAAAGTTCATACGCGAGATTCAAGTGACCCGGTCGCCGATGTCCGAAGCAACGATTGAACGCCAACATGAGGCAGAAACGAATCCTTTCAGTCAACGGCCGCAGCAGACGTCGGGAAGCCTTCGACCACCGATCACGACGACGCTCGCGAGAGTCCCTCGGAATGCAACGTCGACGCGACCGATGCCCCGAAGAGTAGCGATCGCGCATTCGAGTTGAGCTGGGAAGGCGAAGCGGAAGCGGTCGACTACGAGACCGTTTGGACCGACCTCGAGAGCTCAGCAAAGTCCTGCGAATGCAGACTCGACGAGCTCGAGAGCGACCAAGCGCCGCCGCCGCCGCTGCCGCTGTTCGATGATCCTCTGCCAGGCTTCCTGCGGAGGATGCGAGCTGAGGTGGACGCGGGTCGTCTGGAAACGATCTTCCGCTTGCCCGGAATCGGTTCGCCGGTCTCGCCGGAACGTGTAACGGCCGTCGGACTGTGGCTGGCCGACTGCGCCCGTCGGCAGCAGGGTCTGGTCGGCCCGCGGAACATCCGGCATTTTCTCTGCCCGAAGCTGCACGACTTCGCGGACTGCGACTGCCCGTGACGAACACCTCGCCGCGAACACGCCGCGTCTCCGTCCGAACGAGAGACGATCGAGAAGAGAGGTCGTTTCGATCGTTTCTCTTCGCGGAAGCAACCCGCGCTCAGCCGCGGTTGCCGCGCTCGCGCGCGCCTGCCGATGCGAGCCGGGTCTGGCATTTTTTTCTCTCCTCTTTTTCAGAACAGCTGCAAATAAATGTTCATATCCAGGTTGGAACACGCGCGACGGGAGAAGCGGAACGTGTCCCGCGCACTCGCGAAATAAATGCGCGTCCACGCGTCGACACGTCGACGCGACGCTCGAGAAGGTACACCGGGGAAGCGTAGCGAGAGAGCCGTTCCCTCTCTCGTCGAGATTCGCGACGGCCTCGGATGTGAATTAATTCGCACGTTCGCCGTGTCGCGTTTTATTACATATACATGTGAAACAGTCCGACCTTGCACTACGCGCCTTTAATTTACGACTGTGTGCTACACGTACCTCGCTCACACACGTAGCTCGCGTGGGCGATTATTGGGGCGATGCATAATAATAATAATAATAATAACAACAACAATAACAACAACAACAACAATAACAACAACAACAACAACGCGTATCAGTGCCTCATCGGACGGGATTCGCGGCGTTAATACGCCGAGCGCGCGTACAATATCGAGAGGAGGAGAATGATGAACGATAAAAGCGCCGCGGAAACGGAGGCAGCCGCGAGCTACCTACGAGATCGCGCACGTATCTCGTCGCGCCCCGCAGTGCGATACTCGCGCACGGTTGCACCCACGTCACGTTTTTATTTCGCTACACGTGTACCGGGCGAAGGAGAGCTCGGGGGAGAGGGGGAGGGGAGAGGGCTCGGCCGCCGTGACGGCGAAAGAGGCGCGCACATAAAAATCTATCTCTTTCGCCCGGCGGCGGCGGCGGAAGTGATCGATATTCCTCGCGAAGAGGGCACGTGTCCGTTATTTGCTGCAACTGCCGCTCCCTATTGTGCGTTTTGTCAATTCGCCGTTTGCCGTATCGGCAACAACTCGGTAATCGATTATTGGCCGAGTTATTATTGGTATCACGGTAGCACAATATTGACGTACGCCGGTCAGCTCCGGGGTTCATAACCCGACCCTTCCCCTCCTCGCCCCTTCGCTGTTCTCGCGCCGGTGGGTCGCGGATTCCATGGGATTTACTTCGATAGCCGGGCGTTACCGTTTCGATCCGCGACACCGGGACAAACAATGCGCGACACGAGCACGTGCCGCATCGAGAGCGCGCGGCATTTGTTCCAAGGGAGCCGCGGAAAATCGACGCTGAGAATCATCGAGATCGTCTTCGCTCCGCGTGTCCTTCGCCACCGTCTCTCCTCTTCGCTGCCAGCACACGGTGGGGAAATTTGAAGCGACGACCGACCGCATGCATGCACCAGCAGAGGCGGTCCGCGTGGCGGGTACTTTCCGTTTGCTCACGAAATGAAAGCGCGCTCGGTCGAATTCCCCCGTCGAAAGCCGCGGACCGAAATCGCGGCGCGCTGCCGGGATAAAGGTCCGGAGCGCGCCGATTTTCGCAAAAACCACCCCGGGGATCGTCGCCTCGGATCGTCCCGCGGGAGGAAACGTTTTTCCTCGGCGTCCCTCGTGGAAATAAATTCTCTGTGCTTCCTCGCGATCGAATTCGCCTCTCTCCTGCGCGAGCGATTTTCGCTCTGCGGTCGTTGGCCGGCTTGCGGCTTTGCTCGATTCCATCAACGGTGAATAAGCCGCCGATTGATATTCGCGTCGGATAACCAGCTCGCTTTCCCTCCCCCTCTCCTCTCTCTCTCTCTCTCTTCCTCTCTCGTTTCCTTTCCCCTTCGCGCTGTTCTTTCCGCGCGCGCGCGCGACAGCGCCGTTTAGCGTTTAATCGAGAGGAGGGTATCAGCGTGACCGTCGCGATTTCTCGTCATCGCGACTCGCCGGGCGTCGAATGCAAATAACCACCTACGACGTTTGAATAATTCCATGAGCCGCGCTCTTCTTCCCGCCCGATACGCGTTATCGTACTCGCGCGCGACTCACCCCTATCTCCCCGGCCCGGCGGGGAAAAGAAGGACACGGTGAAAATTAGGGCGGAAGCCTCGGCCGCCTCGCCGCGGCCGTCTCGCATCCATTCTGCGATAATCAACGACGACAGCTCGCTCCCCTCGCTCGCAGCGCGACCGCTAATCTCCGCACTCGTGGACTCGTCCCGTCTCCCCCAGGAAACGGGACTTGCGCTCGCTTCTCCTCTTTCGTACGCCGAGCGTAACTCGAGCGATTAGACGAGCTTAGGAGCGAAATCGCGCTCCTGATAACAAAGTCGCTCTTCGAGCTGCAGCGCTCGTGTGCGATGCGTATATAAAGGGGGCATTTTTGTCCCTTCGCGCTGTCAAACCACCGCGGAACCTGGCCTCGCGATGACTCCGACCGCGCTCGCATTGTTCCCCGCGCTCTTGTTGCTGTCCCGGGACGCCCGCGGCTGGAGCATCGCGTTCCCGAACATCAGCGAGGCCCTCGCCAACGATCTTCGCGACTCCTCGCAGGAGCGGACGCCGCCCTTGATATTTCCAGGTGGGAGCTCTCGCGTTTTGCCATCAAGCTCGCGATCGTTTCGCGACGCCGTTCCGGCGTTTCGGCGTTTCGGCACGCCGCTGACGTCCGCCGGGAGAATTTCTTCTCGGCGAGCGACTTTTCTCTCTCTCTCTCTCTCTCTCTCTCTCTCTCTCTCTCTCGGCCGAGCGTCGGCGACGCCCGCGCCGTGCCGAAGCATGCTCGTCGATCTCTCGAAGAAGCGGCCATTTGCTTTCTCGATACCGTTTGTATCTTTCTCTTTCGAAGCAGTCCGGGACGCGGACCGCGTCCGCCGCGAGAACTTGTCTCTCTGAACGATCGTTGAGAAGCAAAATCTCTCGTCGGACATCGCAGCCGCGTTCCAAGCTGCGTCGGGAAGGAAACCTCGACTGAGTGTTCAAAGCGAGTGTATCGTCGCGCGCGCGCACGCAAGCTCTCTCGAGCAGGCGTCGACAGACGAACTAGTTATTCGCTTGAATTCCTATCCAGGAACGAAATGGTGCGGCAGCGGCAATATCGCGAGCTCTCAGGACGATTTGGGCACGTTCGCGATGACCGACGCGTGCTGCCGCGAGCACGACGAATGCGGCGACATCATCGAGGCGATGCAGACGGCGCACGGCCTGACCAACCCGGCCTTTTACACGAGGTGAACCCTCTCGCTCGGCCGCCTCTCCAGCTTTGTCGTCGGCCTCACGAGATTTCAATAGCAAATAGCGGCTCGGGAAAATCGATGAGAGGCAGGCAGGCAGGCAGGCGGGCGGGCGGGCGGTCCGCGATAGCGCGAGTCAGCTTGCGAGTTTCCACGCAACGCCGCGGCGCAAGTTTCTCGTGCGTGTCTTGCCGCAGTTGCGGCTGACGTCTGACGTTGATGAATGAGATGCATTATTATAAACTTGGTGTATTAATTACGCGGGCTATTTCCGTACGGTATGCGACCGGCTGGGAAATGTGTCGGCCGTATTTCGCGTTATCTCGCGCGTCGCGGCCGCCGCTTTAAGCGGCGGCTTTAAGCCGCCGCTTAAACTCGCCGGGCTTGACTCGCGAAATCGCGCGGGAGGAAGAAGAGGCGGATGAGAGGTGCGCGCAAGCCGTGCGACGTCAATTATCCGCGGAGTATGTGCGCGGGAAATATTGACATCGCGTTGAAATCGCGTCGTTCCTTCCGGTCTTAGCGAGCGCCGCGCCGTCGGTGCTGCGCAATTCGAAAGAAAACGGACGGGTTGGTTCGCCGCGAGAGAGTAGAATCGAGGCAGTTCGTTACACGCGGAATCGACTTGCCGACTTGGAAAGCTCTCGGTCCTTGGATGAAGTGGCCTTTATTCGCCTCATCGCCGCGATCTTTGATCGCGTACGTTCGCGCGCCGTCGTTCGTGTATCGTTCGTGCGTTTTCCAGACTCGAATGCTCTCTCTCTCTCTCTCTCTCTCTCTCTCTCTCTCTCTCTCTCTCTCTCTCTCTCTCTCTCTCTCTCTCTCTCTCCCCCTCCCTCCCTCCCTCTCTCTCTCTCTCTCTCGCTCGGGTAAACTCGCGAAAACCATCCGCGTTTAATTATCGTAAATCTAACGCCAATACTGTTGAAATTATATTTGCAATTAGTATCGCGACCGCTTTGCCGATTAATCTACGCATTGCGCGATCATATACTTATGCGATAACCAACGAATAAGGCCCCTTGCACAATGCCAGGCAACAAGCAGTAAGAATAAAAATAGACGAATCACAATCGACTATTACAAGAATAATCTATTGTGATTGGTCTATTTTTATTCCTATTGCCTGTTGCCTGGCATTGTGCAAGGGGCTTAATACCCCAGCTTAGTCCGCTGTAGTCGCCATCTTGGGATTTAAAGCACAAAAAAGCTGGGCGAATGAGTAAAGCGATGTGTGACCACGATACGTAGAATTATCTAGCGGAGAAACGTAACGTTGTCGACTTTAGACTTTCTGTCGTTATTTAAACTTTCTCGCCGCTAAGCCCGGCGAAGATCCGTTTCGAAGGGCGTTAATTCGAGTGATTATTTGGAATAATTCCGCCGAAATTCACGTTAATAGAGCATGGGTGGTTTCCGGAGTCTTTTCCCCCTCTCTCTCTCTCTCTCTCTCTCTCTCTCTCTCCGTCTCTTCCTTTCTCTCGTTTTCTATCTACCTCCTCCTACCTCCTCTCTCTCTCTCTCTCTCTCTCTCTCTCTCTCTCTATCTCTCTCTTTCTCTCTCGCGCACGCGCGTGCGCGCGCTCGCGCTTCCGCGATTGTGCGATTGTAATTTGAAATGATAATGAGGCGTCGCTTTTTGTAAAGCGGTAATCTGATAGAGTGTCATGAAATGTACCAAATCAGGCTGCACTGCTCGTGCGACGAGAGGTTCTACGACTGCCTGCACAGCTCGGAGGAACTCGTTAGCGCGAAGGTCGGCTTCCTCTACTTCAGCGTGTTAAACACGAAGTGCTTCCGCGAAGACTATCCCATCGTTGGCTGCAAACGGCATTCACTGTGAGTCGTAAGCGTATTAGAGCTTTGCCAGTAGTCGCGGCGGCGACGACGACGACGGCCGGGCGACGGCGACGGCGACGGCGACGGTGATGGTGCTGTTGGTACTGGTGGTGGTGGTGGTGGTGGTGGTGGTACACTCGACTTTCAAATGGGTCAGACACTCGAGCGAGATTCATCGATCCATCGCAATCCTATTTAATACACATAGGTACATAGGTGCGCAAATCGCCTCGATCTCACGCCAAATCACGCCGAATCACGCTGTCTCACGTTAAACTGCACCTTGTCCCGTCCAGCGGCGGTAACTACGTGTTTTCGTCTGCATTTTCGCAGACGTCGTTGCCGCACCTCGCACACTGCTCCTCGCACGTCTCTTTCCTCCTCAGCGACTCTCAGCGGTAGATCGCAATTGCCGTTCTCGGGGAATTGCGACGCCGCGGAATCGGAATCTCTCGTCGCCTGTTCTCCGCTTCGGAAATTATCCGACATTATCGCGCAGGGGCTGTTATCGCATCGCCGGGATATATGTGCTCGCCGGGTGAAGAGGAAATACACGTGCCACTATGTGGAGTTTCTCGAGTTCATTTCGGCGGAACAGTGTCATACCGGCTGCGGGCTCGGGCCTTAAAAGCGCTTTTAACCGCAGCGACTACGGGGGGCGACCGACCGACCGACCGCTTTGCCAGACACGGGACGACCATTCATTATTCATCGAATTAAACGCGCGTAAAGTCCGTCGTGCGCGCATTTGACAGACATATATACGCGCCGCTCGAACTCGAGAACAACGATGCCGAGACGTATCTTTTCATTTTTCGGCAAACGTTCGCCGCGTACGGAAATCTGCCGGGATTTTCCCCGGATCAGCGCTCGAAATGAGGATCCCCAAATTTGTCCCGAAGTCGCTTATCCCATTACGATCCCATTCTTATCTCAAGCATATGGGTCCCGTGGGTCGGCACGGAAAATTTCCGCGGGGACTGGCGCAATTTTGGTCGTTCTTCAAGAAATTTTCTTGACAGACACGCGTCTTTCCGAGAAGCGGGTGAGCTTGTGGCTAACTGTGTTTTCTCTTACGCTTGGCATGATTGTGCGCGAAATTTGCTGTCTCTTCTCTCTCTCTCTCTCTCTCTCTCTCTCTCTCTCTCTCTCTTTTTCTGCCTTTCGACGCAGCAGCCAGATAAAAATCCAAGAGAACCCGCGTAATAGAATACGATTGGAAAAACTCGCGGGTTATATCGCGAGCGTCGGAGGATTTTAAGGACGACGTGCTAACGACCGCTTGGCAGCATTCCTAGACGCTGTTTGGAGTACGAGCTGGACGAGAGCCAACCGAAGATGTATCAGTGGTTCGACGTGCCCGCGTATTTCCAAAACGACCACCGGATGACAGCGACCGGCCGTCATATTCGATCACCTGCCGCCGCCGCCGCCGCCGCCGCCGCTTCATTCGCGGACCCGTGGAAGTCTATTTCGCGGGAATGATCATCGGAGGAAACGTCACGCCGCACAGAGGTCGCCGCGTAAATTTGCAGCTTACCGTGCGCGCAGCCGCTGTCACCGTAGTTAAATAAACGCCAATAAAACCGCACTTGCGACCGCTTTATTCCCGCTCTATTTCTCGTTGCGTTTTATTTTCTTTTTCCCCCGCTCGCTCGCGTCGGCTCTCCGTCGGCGCTTCCGAGGATGCTCGTATTAACCATTGCGTGCGTGCGTGCGTGCGTGCGTGTGTGTGCGCGTGTGCACCGCGAAGGATGCGAAATTATAGAGCGGGCAAACTGGCGAAAGTGGAAATTGCGCGATGGTCGCGGCCATTAAGCGCGCCAATCAACCGCCGATCGTAAAAGCCGGCTTTTTTTACTTCCATCGGTCCGATACATCGGAACGGCGGAAATGTAAAGCACCGCAGTGTGGCGGGCGCGGGGGGGGAGAGAGAGAGAGAGAGAGAGAGAGAGAGAGTGCAGGCTGAAGTTGAAACGGTAATAAAGTATCGCGTTTCACCGTTTCGCGAGATTTTTCGGAAATGGATCGCGATTGCCGGCGCCAATTTCGTCGCTAATAATTAATAAGCGCGCGCGAATATTTGCGCTGGGAGCGAATGCGATCGCTCGATCGCAGCGTCGTCGTTCACATTTACTCACCTGCTGCGTAATACAGCAATAATTCAGCCCCGGGACCCAACTGAATCATCTCATTGTAATCGGCCGTTATCACGTCGGAAAAACAGAAGCCAAGTTAGAGGGATACCAGAGAGAGAGAGAGAGGGACGAGGGTGAGGGGTGGTCCAAGCGAAGGCGGGAGATAAGCGATGAGGGGCCGAATCGGGTTCCTCGCTTCTCCTCGCCCTCCCTTCTCGCTTTTCCGAGGCTTTCCTCCATTTTACGCGAGACCGTGCGGGCAGCTGGCGCTTACTCCGGGATTTGCTCGGAAATTTATGTTTGGATGGAGCGCAGCCGCCGCGCCGTCTCCCCCCCCCTCCCTCCCCTCCTCTCCCCATCGCTGCCGTCGATTTACAACTTCTCCACTCACCTGCGCCAACTTTCGGATGCGCGTAAGCGCCGCTTCTCCAACTTCCACGGCGACTCCATTCTTCGTCGCGTCGCGCAGCATCGACGCGATAGGAAAAATTGTCGAGTTCGCCGTTGAACGCCGGTGATTTATCGCGCTAGGCTCTCCTCGGTGAAGGCCAAGGCGGCGACGACGCCGCCGCCGCCGCCGCCGCCGTGCGACGTTGGAATATTTAAGAAGGCGGAACATGCGCGCGGGCCACTCTCGCGGGATTAAGGGAATGGTAAACAGGAGGACGACTGGAGGAGGAGGAGGAGGAGGAGGAGGAGGAGGAGGAGGAGGGTCAGCGAGCCCGAAGGGATAATGGATGCCCGAGAAGTGTTGTACTTATGGAAGCAATAAAATGTCGGAAAAACAATAAACAAGATTTATTAAAACGCTGCTTTCTTCAAAGCGGTCCACGCGGAATTGACCGCTGCTACGTGACAGTTTCCGGCGTCTCCGAGAGAGACGTCATAAGAGTTGCGACGGCTGATCGATATTACAATGCTCCACTTTGAGACGCTTTATTAATGTTACACGTTGCCGCCCTCCCCCCTCCGAACAATCGTGCGGCGAACGCGTAAACAACTCCGTTTGCCCGGCAGGAAATTTCGTGAAATCTAATTTCGGAGTCTAACCCGATTTCGTCGGAAAAAGAAAAGCAGCCGACTCTGTATAGTCGGGAAATCCGCGCAGAATCGGGTCGTAGGTGTGATGTTTCAAGCACACCCGCCCGAACGGGTGGGTCCCACTTTGGCTTTCTCTTCAACGTTTCCAGCGGCAGATTTGTCCGCTTTTTACTTCACGTCGGAATTGAGCAAATACGTGAAACACAGTCGGAGTATTTATACTTTTCAAGTGTGAGTATGAAGAATTGCGCGCGCTCGAGCTACTTCAGACGCCGTCCTCGTTTTCTATTTTCCCTCCTTGTTTCATTGAATTTCACCGCGGCTGTGAAAACGGACCGATGCAAAAAACGGTGTATGGAGATGAGATGAAGATAAGATGATTGAGGAAGAACGAGGTCTTCGACTCGCGCGGAACCCGTATCGCTCGGATCCCGCGAAAGTACACTGATTGCATTAATCCAGACTCTCGTTCCCATTCGCGACTAATCAAGCTTCTCGTTTTCGTTTCCAGACGTGGCGGCGTCGGTGGAGGTTCACTTCGAGAACAAAGACGGCGGATTCTTCCTGAAGCACACGCCGCGCCAGTACTATCCAGCTCGCACGGACTCGGCGCCGGCGATCTCGACGTCGTCCACCAGCAGCAGCGGCGGCAACGGCAACGGCAACAACAACAACAACAACAACAACAACAACAACAACAACAGCAACAACAACAATAACAACAACAACAACAACAACAACAACAATGGCCCGAGCACGGCGCCGTCGCCGCCGCCAGGCTCGGTCCTCTCGATCGACAAGTTCACCGTCTTCCAGACGAGCGAGCCGGTGTCGGTGAGGGCCACGTATGGGCCCTTCAGCACGAAGCAGACCGTACCGGCGCGTTACATCGTCCCCGATCCGCTGGACGCGCTTCCCGGCCCGGAGACGCGGCGCAACCTCACCGCCGCGACGATCATCGACGCGCAGGAACTCGGCGCTCGCCATCTCGACATGTCAGCCCATCTGGTGGGTAACAGCGTGCCGCGCGACTCGCCGGTGCTCAGGGTGCTCTTCCACGCCGGCAGCGAGGCCGGGGGTAGGCGTCAGCTGCTGTTGGCGCGGCATCAGCGGGTCTGCGTGGTGCTGCACGCCAGCCTGGCGAGTCCGCTGAGGAACAACCCGGCGAGCAGGAGCAACGGCCGCGGCGGTTACTCTTCCTCGTCGTCGTCGTCCTCCTCCTTCTCGTCGTCCTCGTCGTCATCGTCGTCCTCCTCCTCATCTTCCACGTTGACGGCAGCGTGCAGCCCCGACGGCGAGAACGGCGTGTGTCTCGCGCAGATCACTATACCGGCCAGTTGGTGGGCTCCGTTGCCGCCGCCCGACGCCTCCGGCCGTGTCAAGGTCGCCAAGAGTCTGCCGCGCTTGATCCAGGTCGCTTACTCCGTGCTGGAGCCCCGCACGGAGGAGGGGGCGCCGCTTGGCGGCGGCGGCGGCGGCGGCGGCGGCAGTTCAGGCGCCGACGGCGGCTCGGGCTTCTGCAGGCCCAGGGTGCAGATTCAGCCGGTCACCCCGTTGGGTCAAGTACCTTTGGCGCCGAACAAGGCGGATTACAAGGAGCTGAGGGCGGACGACCTGCTGACGCTGCTGGTGCCCCACGGCCCGCTTTATCCGAGGTCTCGACTCTACGTGCCGGCCTTCCTGCACTCCACCAAGGAGACGGACCTGCGGCAGGAGCGGTTGCCGTTGGTCATCGCCGTTTACATCAGGTACGTCTTCGAAATCTCTTCGGAGATCTTTGGTTGTCAAGGTAGTCGGGGTTCTTTCGCATCAAAGTCGGTGGCGCGTCGTGATTGGTTCCGTTTAATGAGAAAACGGAGGGTTTCCTCGTAAAATTGTCCCCGCCGCGGACCACCCTGCGTTTTCGACGTAACAGTTTAAGACGTGGAGTGAAATACGATCGCATGTCGATCTCTCCCGTTTCCGTTTCCGACCCGACTAACGAACGCGTTGGAGACAGGGGAGCGTGGTGGGTCTCCTGGAGATTTTCAGTCGCTGCCAATTGGGATTGATGCTCGGGTCAAACACGCGATGAGAGCCGGCGAATGAACGGCGATTAGCGTCGATGGCAAGCCGGCCTCGCAACATACCGCTCTCTCAACCGCGGCCGAACGTACAATTGAACATCCGCGAGATCAAACCGCGACGTTTCCGCTCGGCTTTCCTCCGTTCTTTCCGCCAAGAGGCGCTCTCGAGGGCCGTCGTCGTCGTCGTCGTCGTCGTCGTCGTCGTCGTTGTCGTTCCATAGGGTTCGCGGAAATTCCCTAATTGGACGAATTGCCGAGCGAACGAGGTCGAAGTTATAAACCTGTCCTTGTTGTTAGCAAGCTCTCGGAAGTTCCGCGGCGACTAACGCGGTGGCTGCGAATAGCCATGAGAGAGAGTGAGAGAGAGAGAGAGAGAGAGAGAGAGAGAGAGAGAGAGAGAGAGAGAGAGAGAGAGGAGAGAGAGAGAGAGAGAGAGAGAGAGAGAGAGAGTAGTCGACCAATCCGCGTGAGAAACGCGTCGTTGACTTTGTATAACACGGTGCTCGCGAGTGTACAACCGGCTGACTGTCGGGACACTCGGCCAACCACGTCGGGGATAATCGCGAAATGCTTGTACCGACACATTTCACATGCCAGATGCCGAGGTTTCCGCGGAGTAATGACGTGTCGTGTGCGCGAGGGTGACTTATGGCGGGGCGGGGGACGGGAGGCTGCAGAAGTCGCGGAAACACATATCGATATGTCGTCCGTCCGTAATAGACGACGCGCACGTCCTACGCACGTAGCTCGCGATACATAATTAAAGAGGGTTATTACTCACTCCCGCGCGCATTATCGCTCCAAGAGCACTCACAGCTCGCGAGTCGCGAGATCCCTCCGGATGATTGAAGACTGCGTTTTCCTCCCGTCGATTCGATCAGAAGTCGCGCCGAGATCCCGATGAGAAGCCGCTCTCAGACTCGCCGCTTACAAGTAAACCTCGGGAAACGTCAGACGCCGATTTGTTTCCAATTTCTTATAGTTATTTTTTACATCAAAGTATGAAGAAATCTGTTATCATTTTTAGCTTAAATTAATTTTCTCAATTTCTTCAAAATTTTTCAAGTTTTGCACAAGTACACTATACGTATTTTATACATATTTAAAACAATATTTCTTAAAAATATATATATCTGATTTGTCGAAACTTGCACACACATGCTTGCAGACGCCGATTATGAGTCAGAACATGAATTTTGTAAAATTCAAAATGGCGGATCTAATATGGCTGACGTCATTGTTGAAAAAGTGTTCAGTAGTTTTACGCTACATTCGACGTTGGGTAATCTTTCGGCTCACTATCCAACAATGAGCAACAAGCTCATTGTAACGTCAAAATCTGGTGAAAAATGAACAAAAAAAGAAGAAAAAAAATTTTGCAGAAGAGTAAACTGTCGTTACCCAACGACGTTGAATGTAGCGTAAAATTGAACACTTTTTCAACAATGACGTCAGCCATATTAGATCCGCTATTTTGAATTTTACAAAATGGTTCTGATTCATAATCGGCGAAATGTGCGTGCAAGTTTCAACAAATCAGATATATATATTTTTAAGAAAAGTTTTAAATATCTATAAAATGGTGTACTTGTGCCTGTGTATTTCGAAAAATTTCGAAAAAATTGAAAAAATTAATTTAAGCAAAAAATGATAACAGATTTCTTCATATTTTGACATAAAAAATAACTATAAAAAATTGAAAACAAATCGGCGTCTGACGTTTCCCTCTGAGGTTTACTTGTCAGAACCTTCATCGATTTTCACTCGAGTTCGCGTTATTTCGAAATCTCATTCTCATTCCGGTAACTTATTCCTGCTCCGGTTACATTCAGTGCGGAATGCGTCGCGTGTGAAAAATAAACGCATGTGGGAGTGGGACACGCTTGGAGTATGTGCATTTTGCCAGTATAAATATTTAAAAAGTGCAGATACCGCGCTGAACGTTTCCGCACGGCTCTGTCCGACTCTAACGTAAAGTGAAAATGAAAAAAAAAGAGCGAGGAAAACACATTGGACAGATCGAATGGGACGTGTTTGGGTTTTCCGCTTCGAGTCGCGCGCGTTTCGAGCGCGTTCACTTCTGACCCGAATCATGCGTACGTTTTCCCCGGTAGAATCCATCATTTTTCGTCGGCAGATCACACAGCCTGGGGCTGATCTCAATCAGATATATCAGAAACGTTCCACGCGAGTGTGCTGTCACGATATCGCGATCAAAGATACACGCGCCGTGTCTTCATACGATACGGTCCCGCAACTTCGCGAGAACGGAACGCGGAATTTCATTCGGCCGTTTTTCCGCGCACGTGCCGATTTTTCTCGCGCGCGTCCCCCGTCGCGGGCGTTCGAGCCGCTTTCATCGATGATGCACGATGACGATGATTGTATTTACAGAGTAATGCTGTCAAGTCGCTGAGGAGGCGCACGTTTGCGAAGCCACGGGATCTGCGGAATCGCGGAATGCGCGCGCGTGCGAGCGATCTTTTATCCGACCGGCCGAAACGCCGTGCGACGACAACGCGCGCTCGATATGAGCGCCGGGCTATCGATAGTCGGACTCATTGCGCCGAAGAGGTCGCGGGTTATCCGGATTATCTCCACAATTTCCAGAAAGCGATTTTAAAACGCGCACTTGGCGTTTGCGCGCGCGTCTTCGGGGGGTTAGCCTTGGCGCTCGGGAATTTTACGCGGATTAACGAGATGTAGCGCGCCGCCGCCGGCATTTCTGCTGAAAAACTGAGTCGCAGCAGTTCAGATAAGAGAGGAGGGAGAGAGCAGCGAGCGTGCGTTGTTTGTACCGTATTCTTCCGTCGTCAATACGCGGATAATTGCGAAATGCGCGCGAGCCCGCGAGGATTTTTCCGGCCGGCGCCGCTATTTTTTATACGTCGACCTCGCGCTGCGCGATCCGCGCCGTAGCCGTCGCCGTCGCCGCGAGACTGACGTGCGCGCACAATAGGAACGTCAGCGGTATATTAGAGTGTAAATCGGCGGGGTCGGACGGGGGCAGCGCGCCGCGTAATTCGCAAACGCGCTTTATGGAGATCGGCCGGCAACATCAAAGGCGCGCGTCGCGGAGAAAAGCGGCGAAAGTTTCCCCCTGCAGCCGCTCGACTCGGCAATTTATTTTTGCAATCTCGGCCGGCTCCCTCTCTCACCCTCCTACCCTCTCTCTCGAGTCTACGCGCAGCGATGATAGCGCGACACCGGGCGGAATAAGTTGGTTAAACCAACTGTGAAGGTTCGGCGAAGTTGACCGGCGAACGCGAACGCTCCGTCGCGCGACATTGTCTCGCGTTAGCGACACACACGATCGTCTCGATGAAATCTTCAGACCACCGCGATATCGAGAGCGCGCGCCGGGGCTTCCTCCCCCTCCGCTCTCCAGCGTCGCCCTCTTTGCTTCGCCAGCGTTATTTTATTCGGCGAAAGTGATGCGGTCATTCGCGGAGAAGCACACACAGCCGTCCGAGTCGGTTAAGCGCTTTAAGCGCGAATTACTCCGCGGAAACGCCCCTCCCGGCGAGGAGAGAGACGCTCCCCTCCCGGCGAGTCGAGGCGAGCGAACATTTTCTCCGCGCGTTAAAGAGCTTGCCGAGAGCTAATCGTACCCTTTGTCCGTGTCCGGGGGCTTTACGCCGCTTTTTTATGTCTCGCAACCTTAATCTAAGTCTCTCGCCGAGCCGCGTTAAACTGTAGATTTCCTGCGCCCGCCTGTTAAGCCGCGCTCTACTCGCCGACCAAAGGTCGCTGCTCTCCCTCTCCCCCCCCCCTCCCGCGCTCTTTCTGCTTTTCGCTCGCTGCGTTATTCCATCGCGCAGCTGTTGTACAAGAGGTGTCCCAGGTACCGTTGGCGCTCTTTTTCTCCCTCGGCCGCAGATTCTGACACTCGGCGTTACAAAGAAAGCGCCGTCCTCGTCGCTTTCGCGGACGGCCGCTGATACCCGCGCTCGGTGTTTTTAGATGAAAAATTTCAAGTGTCTGACGAGACGGGACGCTTAATAATTCCTTTCCTCGCTCTTGAAGGCTCGCGAATTCGCCGCGACCCTTTGCGCTTTTCGTGCCGCCCCTCGCGCTCCGCTCTCTCGATTCGCGATTTAAGAAGCCGCCTCGCGATTGGAGCGCGCGTGAAAGGTCGACGCGACGACACATCGACGAGGGCGGATTCCAAGGGGAGATTCGCCGCCCCCCTTCCCTCCCCTATCTGGTCGGGCGAAATTCGTCGCGCTGCTTTCGTGAGAAAAGCAGCTCTTCGATTCGGGAGCGATATCCCGCAGCGCCTTAACGAATTTATCTACACAACGCGCATCGATCGGCGGCCCGCGCGACAGGAATTTGTAATTAGAGAACCATCTCCCTCCCCCGCGGGAGAACGTTTCTCAAAATTCCTCCCGGAGTGTTCGCGTACATAAACACGCGCGCGTACGCGCGATGTTACCGCCGGCCCCGCGAATAGCTTCATTCGCACGCGCGCACGGCCGTTCGTGTGTGCCATGTGGGTCGATCGCGAACGCGATCGGGGAGAGCGAGAGAGAGAGAGAGAGAGAGTGACGGGGAGGGTGGGGGGGAGGGGGGCTCTCGAGAACCGGCGGTCATTGAATAAACGGTAGCCGCGGCGAGCGACATCGATCATTCGTCAACTACGCGGAGCGGCGGCGCATATTCGAGAGAGATATATCCGC